CCCCCCCCCACCTTTTTTTACGCTCCTATTTACATTAGAGGCTAGAAGGCAGCAGTCCACCAAGTCTCTGCTGGGAAGGGGAGCAAAACCAGCTACTGAGAGAACGTGAAACTATTTTCTGCTACACATTTTACTCCACAGTGCCTGCAGCTACAGAGGTCAGTGAGGGCTAGATTTAAAGCTAGTTTGCTACTTGTTAACATATGTAAATATCCACAGCCTGGCCACAGTCTTACTTTAGGTTGACCTCGTGATTTGGGCATGCCGGACAAAGCAACAGGCTTACTTAACTGCCACTCCCACTTGCACATACCGTTTTATTTTCACGTGCCACTTTGTTTAGCCACCTGAGGCAAAGATGTACAGTATACTCCAGCGGGGTATTGGAAGCATGTGATCTACTTCCCTCTCTGCCATGGTGCAAGCTGTTCACCTGAGTGGTCATTCGCCAGGACTGAGTGCTGTCACATGGGGACAGGGAGACAGTCCTTGGAGATATATTAGCTCCAACCAAGTGACTTGGAGCTTACACAGGACCTTTTCTGTTCATCTCTGTAGAGCAGGGGTAGCCAAACTCCGGCCCTCCAGCTGTGGTGGAACTACAAATCCCATGATGCAACTCTCTCCTGGAGTCGTCGCTGTGAGAATCTTGCAATGCCTCATGGGATTTTTAGTTCCACCACAGCTGGAGGGCCGGAGTTTGGCTACCCCTGCTGTAGACGAACAAAGTGACAGGTGGGTGAAGGGAAGTATAAGCAGCTAGAAGGGGACTTCATTTAAGTGAACTTGTTGCATTGTCCTGCATGGGAAGAAGCACAGACTCATTCTGTTTTATACTTTGGTCTTTAGGTAATCTGTGTTCTTTTCTATATGTAGAGGTAGATGTTTTTAAATGCCTATGTGCAAGTTATATTAAATATTTGCTATCATAGGGGTTATTTAATATGGAAGTTCAAGGTGCAGTAACAGCGCAACATTTGTGTAAGCACATAACAGTGAGATTTAATTGTCTTCATCTTGATTATCAAGAACTACAATTATATTTTGCTGTCTCGATCTGTAATTTGTGCAGCCTTATTAAATAACCCTTACGTTGTGCATATACAGTCCATATACACATATATAAATGAGAGAGAGTTTGTAGTTAAGCTGGTACATAGATGCAAGTTACTAGTACTAGGTCAATAGCACAGAACACACAAGCTGCATGCTAATTCACAAATTCCAATCGGATCACATTTCACGTGAATGGAAGACCCACAGTAGACATTCGGTAGTAATCTTTATGATTTTTACCTACAGTTGCCAAAATCGTGTTGCTTTTGCATTTTGTGTATTAGAACTGCCCTTTCTGTTGCCTTTCATTAGCCACATCTTCTTTTCTATGCAATTTTGTAAGCTGTGCATTCCATGTGCTTTACTGTAATACCATCACCTTCATGTGTAACGCAATTAAGCATAGGAGGTAACCTTCATATTGATGATATACCAATATTTAGCAATATCAACTATTTTTATAAACCGCATTCGTCACAAAATTGGGACAGCTGATCAAGGAAACCTACCACAGATAGTTTAGTCCATTTCCCGGTTGTGATCAAAACTGTTGGTCCCTTTGGCTGTTTTTGCTCTAACAAATTGATGTTAATGGCCAATAAGACCAAGCCCCCTTTATCATTCTCATTAACGTTAGCACTTTCAATTTTTACTACAATGTTCCCCATTGGTTGCCAGTTGGTTAATGTGAACCACTCAGGAAGATGCTTGCCATCTAGTGTTAGAGGCCAATTTGATTGATGTCCAGAAGTGGTGTTGGTTCTGAGGCTGACACTGGATGTGTTCCTTGAGTTGGGCAAGGGCAGCACTGGATGGGGAGCCTTGGAGGTGATAGGTAATCAGCTGTCCTGACAGATTTTCTTTGAATAACTTTGAGCCAAACTGCATGTACAGGTGAAGCTCGAAAAATTAGAATATCGTGCAAAAGTTCATTTATTTCACTAATGCAACTTAAAAGGTGAAACTAATATATGAGAGAGACTCATTACATGCAAAGTAACATAGTTCAACCCGTGATTTGTCATAATTGTGATGATTATGGCTTACAGCTCATGAAAACCCAGTTCCACAATCTCAGAAAATTTTTGGCAGTGTGGGCAGGTGCCAAGTCCTGCTGGAAAATGAAGTCAGCATCCCCATAGAGCTCGTCTGCGGAAGAAAGCATGAAGTGCTCCAAAATCTCCTGGTAGACGGCTAAGTTGCATTAGTGAAATAAATGAACTTTTGCACGATATTCTAATTTTTCGAGTTTCACCTGTATGTTTTATGCATCCCACTTCCTGAGTGCCTCCCATTCCAGAGAAGGAAGATAGAATCATGTTCTATATAATGGCATGTACTGTATATACATATATTACGCATGCCAGAAATCTATGCACTTAACTGATTTGCTCTCCCTATAGCCCATTCAATAATCTATTTTGTAGTAGTGTGCAGTAACTGGGCTGTATCAGGATTCAGAGCTGCAGTAATGAGGCCTGCTTGAGAAATGTGCCCCCTTCCGTTGAGTTAAAGCCCAACTTCAGCCATACGTATTCCTCTAATGTTGGGTAGAGTGGGAAGGGTTAAGACCATGGTCAGATTTTCTAGCTGGGGAGATTTTCCTATTGATGGATTGAGAGTGACATGAGGGACAATCTCTCCAATGTGTCTTCTGTTCAGGGACAACCATTTCCCCAATTTATGGCCCTGAATGCGGGATCCAGTGACTTTAGAGAAAGGCAAGAATCATTGAAGTGACGCAAAGATCAATAGCCAAATAAAAGCAGTTCCTGGATAGAAAAAAACAAGATGTTGGTGCCACCCACTCCTGAACAGCTCAGGATAGCTCATGTCCACTGAATGTTAATACCTGTAGAGTGTAGATCTTCTGTGTCCTCTGCAGTACTCAGCGGTTTCTCCTGCCAACTCCTATGTCCCTGCATGACACAGTATTGATACAGAGGTCATTACTGCAGAAGACACTGGCATTCTCGAAGTAATGGTTTCTGCAGAGACTGTGGGGGGTGATTTCTTTATATTCGAGCAGCATAGGAGCAGTAAGTATGTAGTATCTTCTTTCCGGGGACAGCTTTTATTCCATGATGGCGGAATTCCTTCTGCCGGTCTATTGTATTGCCACAGCGTCTGGTGTGCTGCTGTCAGAATACCCAAACAGTGACTGCAGCCCAACGGGGCCATAGACTGGTCAAATTTTGTCCGAAGGACAAGCAGGCTATGGCCAAAATTTGACCAGTGTATGGCCAGCTTAACAACCAAGGTAACTAGCATTTTCAGAAGGATATGTCTGCAATGGTTGCCCCCGTGTTTCTCTAATGCCACTTCAAGAACTTTCAATATTTAACCAGTGCCTTTTGCAAAGCATGTGTATTTTAGTAAGGAATGGAATGAAATCTTATTTTACTACAATGCTGACTAATAGATTGCTATGCGTTTAGTTGCCTTTTCCTGTCTCTATACTAACCAGTGCCATGCTTTCATGCTCAGTGCCTTTACCCTATAAACACAAATGCTGCTTTCTGCGCACTGATATTTGTTGCCTACAATGCTTTTACAGAGGAGCTTCAGCTAAAACTTCTTTTTGGTTAAAAAAAATGTAGAATGTCAGGTCTCTTGGTAGTTCTATTAAGAGTTATTCCCTCACTTCCTGCCCTGGTGACGCAGGACATTCATGTGAGCTGAACCTCATGTTCGTTTTGTATTCGTTAGAGGTGGTGACAGCAATGCTGAATCACTAGTGAAAGCTCCTATACATATTTCTGTAGAGGGCAGACGTTCTCATGGCACATCTCCCTACCCGGGACAGGGGGTGATACAAATCCCTTTCCTACTTTATCCCAAAAATTAAATAAAATTGGAAAGAAGCTCCAATTGTGCTGTGCAATGTAAATTGTCTAAACCTATTTTTGTATTTTTTTTTTTTCCATTTTGCCAAAAATTACCTATTTTGTAGTATTCTGTTGTACCTTGAAAATATCTTGTGAAAGTTGCAGCTTCCTTTTTTCATGGGTCAGTGTCATTATTCTTGTGTAACTTTAGAAGGTCAGTCCACCCAAAACTGATACTTAAACCTAAAGTGCGGGGCTAACGCTTAATTGGGGCGTTAGCTAGGGACCAATAAGATCCCTTTGGTCATGTGTGGCCCCGCTGGTGGCTGCTGCTTTATTCTTGAAATATTTTGGCCCCATGCAGCCTCTGATGGTGATGTCACCACGGAAGTTTGGTGGTGAAACTGACAGTCGGCGCTGGAGCACAGCAATCACAGAGGGTCACTCGCTCAGCAGCTCCTCCATTTACACATCTTCTTGAATTCTTTTTGAAGCATGCAAGGCATTCTGGGTTTGGACAAG